TACACCTCCTGCTACACCTCCTCACACTTACACCTCCTCACACCTACATCTCCTGCTACACCTCCTCACACTTACACCTCCTCACACCTACATCTCCTGCTACACCTCCTCACACTTACACCTCCACACACCTACATCTCCTGCTACACCTCCTCACACTTACACCTCCTCACACTTACACCTCCTCACACCTACGCTGACGATGATTATGGTGACGATGATGGTGATGATGATGAAGGTGACGGGTCTCTCCCTCTGTCCTCAGTATGACCTGTGCCAAGTGTAACCACGGCTTCTGCTGGCGGTGTCTGAAACCATGGAAACCGACACACAAAGATTACTACAACTGCTCCGCCATGGTTGGTTCACATGCTGTCACATGATCAGTCCGTCCAGTCAGAGAGCCTCGTGCTCTGTCATCATTTAGGTTCATATTCACACTGGTATTTCAGCTCGTCAACAGGAAGTCCAGTCGACTAAATCAAATCAATTGAAATGTCATAAGATGTTTGATAAAGATGTGACAGAGCTGAGTTTCACTTCAGACTCAGTCTCATCTGTTCTGTAGAGTCTCATGTTGTTTGTTCTTTATGATGTTGTTGTTGTTTGTTGTTGCAGGTGAGTAAAGCAGCGCGACAGGAAAAGAAGTTTCAGGATTATAATGAGCGATGCACCTTCCACCACCAGGCCAAGGTACGACTCCCGGCCTCTGCAGACCGCAGCCGTCTGACACACTTTGATTATCACTCATGAATATTAAATTAGCCTGTTGGGGGGCGGAGACGTTTGAACAGCAGCTGCTTCACTGACACCTGTCCTCAGGCTCAAAGGGGATTTATGGTTGTGTGGAGACCCTACGCACATGTACACACATTAAACACACGTTAAAGACACGTTAACCACTCGTTAAACACGTTAAACACACATTAAACACACGTTAAAGACACGTTAACCACTCGTTAAACACACATTAAACACACGTTAAACACGTTAAAGACATGTTAAAGACACGTTAAACACACATTAAACACACATTAAAGACACATTAAACACGTTAAACACACGTTAACCACTCATTAAACACATTAAACGCACATTAAACGCACACTAAACACACATTAAACGCACACTAAACACACATTAAACACACATTAAACACACGTTAAACACACATTAACCACTCGTTAAACACACGTTAACCACTCATTAAAGACACATTAAACACGTTAAACGCACACTAAACGCACATTAAACGCACACTAAACACACATTAAACGCAAATTAAACGCACACTAAACGCACATTAAACACACATTAAACACACGTTAAACACACATTAAACACACGTTAAACGCACACTAAACACACATTAAACAAGTTAAACACACATTAAACAGTCGTTAAACACTCGTTAAACACACGTCAAACACACGTTAAACGTGCGTTAAACACACATTAAACACATATTAACCACTCATTAAACACACGTTAAACACACATTAAACACATGTTAAACACACATTAAACACATTAAACACATGTTAAACACACAATAAACACACGTTAAACACATTAAACACATGTTAAACAAATGTTAATCATACGTTAAACACACATTAAACAAACGGTTAAACATCTCGGTAAAAATAGAATCAGCGTCGTCGGACTGAAAACCCAGAGTTAACCCTGGAGTTACCTCGCTAACTCCAGGACCTGCGTCATCGTCCAGCCTCAGGTGTTAAGTGACAGGAAGTTCTGTGAGCAGACAGAATCATCTGTTTCATGTTGACGTCTCTGTCACAGGACTTCGCCATCAACCTGGAGAACAAAGTGTCGTCGATTAACGAAGCTCTGCAGATGAAGTCTCTGACCTTCGTCATCGACGCCTGTAAGGTCCTCGCTCAGGCTCGTAAGGTAACCGTCATCATCATTGTCACCATGAGCCTGTGGTCCTGCTGGCAGATCTGAGAGGAGTAGTAGTGTGTTAACTGTGTCCTGCCCTCTGTCTCCAGGTGCTGGCCTACTCCTGCGTCTACAGCTACTACAACCAGGAGACGGAGAAGATGGATGTGATGGAGCAGCAGACGGAGGCTCTGGACCTGCACACCAATGCCCTGCAGATCCTGCTGGGTGAGACTCCCAACATCACAGACACAGTGTCTGCTCTTTGAACTGGTCTAACTGGTCTAACTGGTTGTCTCTGTGTCCCCAGAGGAGACTCTGCTGCAGTGCACTGACCTGGCCTCGTGTGTCCGCCTGCTCAAACCAGAACACCTCACCACCGGACTGGAACTGATCCGACGCATCCAGGAGCGCCTGCTGGCCATCCTGCAGCACTCCACCCAGGTAACCAGTCCCAAGACACCTGGGAACCAGTGTGACACCAGACCAGTGTGACACCAGACCAGTTCAGTCCCAGTATGATACAGTGACACTTCCTCTGTGTGTGTGTGTGTGTGTGTGTGTGTGTGTGTGTGTGTGTGTTTCAGGACTTCAGGGTTGGTTACCAGTCAAAGAGCAGTCAGGAACCAGAATCCACTCAGAGCTCCAACCTGTCCAACAACACCGACGCCGCCAACAAAGTGTGAGCACAGAGCCTCCTCCTTCATAAATAAAGTTTATTTTTACACATTCAACATTAAAGACATTAATTTCACTGTCAGAGAAGAAAAATTCACATCTGAGAATCTGAAAACAGAATTTTGGTTCTTTTTTAAACATTTATAATGTAGAAACTGCAGCCGGACCACTGCTCAACCTGGATCAGTCTTGGTTAAGGTGCTGGAAACAAAAAAGTCCAAAAGCAAAGAGAGGATTTCCGCACACTTACGTCTGCAGCGTACTCACTCTGATGAAGGTCTCCTAGACCGAAAGCTCACATTAAAGTGAAGTATTGCACAGATGTAAGTGTGCGGAAATCCTCTCTTTGCTTTTAAATATTTATAATAAATTAATTATGACAGTGGTTCAGACGTCGGAGGCTTCAGCAAAGTTTAACGTGTTCATCAATAAATAAAAAACATTATTGAAATGTCCAAAATCTGTTAACAAAGTGTGACGTTGAAATGTTGTGAAAAAGTTGATAAAATGGACGAAAAATATGAATTTAGTTTAGTTTAGATGATTTAATTGAAACAATTGTGAAAAATATCAATTAGAAAAAATATAAATACAAATTTGATTTAAATAAAATACAAAATAAAGTTTAATTTAATTTGAATGCTTCTTGTATTTTCAGTGTATTTATTATCATTAATTTTACTATTATCATTTTAAATATTCTTATCATGTGCTGTGATGAAGGCCGAGTGCGTCTCCATTGTAAAGGTCACAGCAGAGTGTAACGTCCTCATCTCCTGATGTCTTCGTCCTGATGTCTCACACTGATAAAATGATGCAAGATCATTTAAAATAATAATAAACAAATGTTGACTTTGTTTGTCAGATCAAAGTCGGACCGAGCGTCAGACTCCGGAGACTCTGACAACAATAACTACGCAGGTGAGGAGGGCGGTGAGGAGGCAGAGGACGAGGACGATGAGTACGATGAAGAGTATGTCCCCGAGTGGCACGAGGACTACGATGAGGACGACATCGATGAAGACGACTTCTTCTCCGACGACGACGAGTCGGAGAACCTGGAGAGGGACTTCAGCCCCTTCGACTGAGCTGGACTGAAACCCAGAGAGTCCAGGGACGAGAGCGAGGGCGAGGCGGGCCCCGCCACGGCCCCGCCCCCTCACCTGAGGACACCAGGAGGGACTGGAGATGATCAGAGGGATGTCCTTCTTCACCTGAACTCCCCCCCCGCCACCCCCGCCCGCCTGTCCCAAACACAGCTGCACTCGCTTTTCCACTTCCTGTATTTCACCTTCTTTGTTTTCATCAAGGCAAAGTACGGAAGACGACGAGGGACAAATTAGTTCTGAGGAAGAAAAAAGAGATGACTTCAAAAAGAGAAAAAAAAAATCTGAGTTTAGTTTTTAAATTCTGACGTCAAAGTCACTGCGAGTTGTGTTTGTGTTTAAACACACAGTGTGACACTTGGTTAAAACCAATCTGAACTAGTTTAATCGTTAGTCTGAACCAGTATTTTTACTGGGGATCCAGAGCGCTGATTTTGATTTCAGAGTTTTTATTTCTGTGTCAGCTGAGTTAGAAACATTTGAAGATCCAGATTTAGTTTGAGAGACTCTGATTTCATGATTTCCTGATTTGAAACCTCAGAACTGGATTGTCCTCGCCGTGTCTCCACAGCGACCCCGCCGGGCTCTGGAGCTGATCCTGGATCAGTTGGACATGTTTGTTTCCTGCTGCTTGTTTCAGAGGGTGGTGTTAGTCACGTTCTGCCTTGAGTTCTCTCTCTGACGGACGCTGCCTTCATTCGACAGTAAAGAAACTCTTCACTTTAGATTTACTCACATTAAGTTGTATTTTTTACATGTTTGTAGAGCTGGATGTTTCTATGCATCTGAAGAGTCTGAGCGGAGCGTCTGTAGGAGTATCACTGCAATAACCCATCGACCGATCGATCAATTGATTGATTGATGATTATTATTGGCTCACTGTTGCGTCATTTGCTGAGCAAAGACTCTGTCGGCTGCTCTGTTTCCTGTCGTTAGGGCGAGAGCGGAGGACATCTGATGTCCAGCTCCCCGTTCTGCTGTAATTTTGAGAGCTCCTATATTCATATTGTTGTCTCTGGTTCCTTCGTTGGAGTCGAGCGACTTCAGCCAGCAACTAAATAAAAGCTTTTTCTGCTATGCTGCACCGCGACTCACATTTCATTGGAAATTAACTGTGTGTGTGTGTTTTATTTTAAATCCCTTTTAATTATCTTTTAAATCCAGAGGAACACCTCCATAAATGTAAAACAATAATAATAGTAATATATGATGGTTTATATAAGTAAATATATTAATACATGATGTGACGATAATGATCCTATGTGCATAATAATAGAATTATGACCTGTGTCAGCTTCACTAGGGGCTGGTTCAAGACAAACCTGAGCCATCCCTGACTATCAGAGGAGCATCTGAACATCAATGCTTCCTGTGGAGACAGTGTCACTTCCTGTGGTGCCGGGGCGATGTCATTATTTTTCTCACATGCTGCTTTGCTTTAATAACAAACCTTTAAACTGAGAATTGAAAGTTACTCACTTTTATTAACATGTCTCCTGAAATTAATTTTCATTCTCAGAGTAAACCATCAAATCTGAAGTTCTCTGAAATATTTTGTCAGATATTATCAGTAGAAACTTTTCTCTACAGAGCTTTTTTTATTTAAAAAAAACTTTTTTATGTCTCCATTGTACCGGGAGAAATAGAAGTGAATCCCTTAATGTTTGACCCAATAGTCTTATTAAATAATATGTTCATAATTCAGTGTATTAAGGGGATAATTAATCCAAAAATGAATGGTTTGTTATCTGCACTTTTTTTTTATAGGAGAAACCCCTTAAAATTGACAAAATAACATGAAAAATGGAATTTGGGGACTGCTTTTCATGTTTTTGTAAACATAAACAATATATAACTACCTGGGTTTGGTTGAAGGTGGCAGTGCTGTTTGGGCTGAGAAAGCCATGTGTAAGTGAGGTAAAGGAGGTTATTGGGTTGGTGCGGGGAGCAGTGAGACCTGGCATTAGGGGAGTGTCTCTGGGACACCAGAGATCACTGTCTAGCCTCCTGGAGGTGTCGTGGGACCAACTAGACGAAACACTGGTGAAAGGAGGTTCCCACCTGATGACCCCAAAGACATGCTAGTTATCACTGCTCACTGGTCTGTATAGTTAAGCCTTGCCATAATAGCTTATCATAGGGCTTAGGAGGTTATTTACTGAGTGCTGACCCTTTCTCTAGAGCACAAACTTCTTGTGTTTATTTGAACATCAGTACACACACAAACAACCAAAATCAGCATTAAGAACAACTTAAAGTGAAAATTAATTTAATTAAATAAGGGGCATTAGTGTAACAGCAACTGTATAAATGAATAGAGCTCAGATGTACTAACCTTTGGTATAACATTTAAACCATTTATAATAAACAAATTAAATTCTGTTTCTATTATTTTACACATAATAATAATAATAATAATGATAATAATAATGATAAGAGGTGGAAGAAGAAGGATACATTGGATTTTTTTTAAGCACTTTTCTGTATTTATATATTTTTTAATATATTTTACATTATTATATGTATTTAAATTATTATTATTATTATTATTATTATTATATTAATTATATTTATATATTTTTATTATATTTTTTATTTGTATAATTTACGATTGATTTATTTAATTTAATTGACCACACAGAAGGATTTTAATAACTCTGTTTCCACATCAGTTAAAAACAGAATGGTTCCAAGATGGCGACCATCCGTTTTGGAGAAGAAGCTGCAGTTCCGTCTGCTGACCGGTGGAGGCGGGAAAGAGTCACCAACAGTAGAAGAAGACGAAGAAGAAGAAGAAGAAGAAGAAGATGATGAAGATGCAAACACACTCCCACAGTGTCTGTACAGACTTTAGCATTAAACTGTCGACTTTCCGTTAGAAATTAAATTCTGCATCGATTAACCGACGAACTGTGGAGTTATGAGACTGACGGAAACGTATCCGACGAGTTAACCGACGAGTTTGACTCTTAAACGTGTTGATTGGTCGGTTAACTCCACAGTTAGCCTAGCCTGCTAGCTCCCCGTGCTAACATTAGCAGTTAGCTTTAGCTTCGACATGGGACGAGGAAGGGGACCGACCCGGAGCCGACCGCCCATGGGACCGCCGGGCGATGACGGTCCTCCGTTCGACATGGGCCCGATGGGTCCACCGGGGTGGGGCCCTCCACCGCCGGGAGGCTGGGGCCCTCCGCCGCCTGGTGGATGGCCTCTGCCGCCGGAGGAATGGGGACCACCGCCGCCCGGAGGTTGGGGCCCTCCTCCGCCTGGAGGATGGGGGCCACCGCCGCCTGAAGGATGGGACCCGAGAGACTTTCCACCGCGGGGCTGGGGACCGAGAGGACCATCGCCGCCGCCGGGCTGGGGCCGGCACCCCGACGACTGGCTGCCTCCTCACCCCGACGACTGGAGACCTCCGTACCCCGACGACTGGAGACCTCCGTACCCCGACGACTGGAGACCCCCTCACCCTGATGACTGGAGACCTCCACGGCCTGACTGGAGACCTCCTGAGGACTGGGGACCCGACAGGCCGTTCCCACCTCCTGGCTGGGGACCCCCTGGTTGGGGTCCGGATCGTCCCCCTGGTTGGGGACCGGATCGTCCCCCTGAGCCGTGGGGACCCGAGCCCGGTCCCCCCGGACCCGTGCCACCGGTGCCCCCGCTTCCTCCTGTCGGGATCCCCCCTCCGGACCCTGCAGTCTACGGCCCGATGCCCCTCCCGCCGCCGCCGCCCTGCGTGCCTCCGGTCGGCTTCCCGGCGTACCCGCCTCCAGGCTGGACGGGAGAGGTGAGCCTCACTTCCGGTTCTCTTATCAATCAGATCAGAAGTGTATTGATTGGATATTGATTATAGAGTTTTCTGTGTGTGTTTAGACCATCGTGGAGCAGCCGATGCCCAACCCGCCGCCCGACCAGCCGGAGTGGGTGAGTTCACTGAGAGACGTCCTCAGATCGATCAGTCTGAACAGGAGATACATCCTGACTCCAGCTTTTGATTATTGATTATTATTTTCTGAATGTAACTGATTAATAGTTTTGGGTATCTGGATCAAACTCAGAGATATTCAGTTTAATGTGAGAACAGAGACACAGAAACACTCAGAGGACTTTAACCAGGAGAAGTGTCTTGTATTATATTTTATATTTGTTACTTATGTTTAGTGTTTTATTGTCCTTTATCTCTCTGTACATATTTCTGTCTTTGTGCTCTTCTCTCAGGATTAAAACTGGTTTATCTTATTTTATCTTATCTTAGTATAGTGTCTTGTATTATTGTATATTCCCTAGTTTTATTTTGTTTTTATCTGACTTTCTTTTATGTTATCCTATTTTATCTTATTTAATATTATCCTGTTTTATCTTACCAGATTTTTTCATTTGATTTAATTTTATATTATCATGTTTATTCTTTTTTTATCTGATTTTATTTTACTTGATTTTTTCAGATTTTATTTTATAATATCTTATTTTCTTCGCAAAATTATTTCCGATTCGTTTCCTGTTGATTGAGTAATTATAATTGATTAATCCAGTAGCTCCCGCCCACATACAGACGGTGTTTTCTCTGTTTTTTCTGAGTTGATGTGAGAACACATGGTGTCTGTGTTTTATTGATCTGTAGTGATGCCAGAAGATCCTGATCTGTGTGAACAGAAAGTCTAAGACAGTTAATACTGACAGGACTGTGGGACTTTTACTTTAGAGGGACTTTAATGTATGACCTGTGTATTTCTACTCTGTGGCTCCTCCTCTTCGCCCTGCCGTCAGTAGGGGGAATTTAACATGTCTGAGAACATGTTTGTGCCTCCGTGGTTGATGTTTCAGATTAAAGCTCTGATCTCAGCGCCGGTCACCGAGACGGCTGCGGGGGAAGCTAAGAAACCTAGCGAGGAGCCGAGCGTCACCAAGGCAGCTGCTGCTGAACCCACTGCCGTCCAGAAGCCCAAATCCAAACCCAAATCTAAACCTAAACCCAAACCTGATACCTCCAGGACCGCCAGAGCGCTGGGCCTGCTGGGAAAACGCACCTTTGATAAGTGAGTGTTGTTTCTGAGGCTGTGATGTGACGAAGGCTCTGAGAGGTCTGACTGTGTCTCTGTGTCCTCAGGCCTCCTCCAGGACGGTCCACTGGCATCATCTCTTTTATCGGGGTAAGACTGCCACCTCCTCTTCTTCACCTCCTCTTCCTCACATCTTCATGGATGATCTCAACATCTATAAAATACAAATTACCCACTGCAGCACTTTCAGAGTGAGCGACAGGAATAAACAGAAACTTGGCGTCTGACAGACGTTCACCTGAGAATGTCTCCTGCGCTCAGGAGGGACGTCAGGAGGGACAACTTCCTGTAAACAACTCTGCCACAAAACAAAGACGTGTTCGGTGAAGTCCAGAGTACAGCTGGGTGGATTTCCGGTTCGTCTGCTCCAGTCCCATAAAAACAGGTTTGGTTTTATGGAAGCAGACTGAACTGACACGTGACAAATTAAAAAGTCACCTACATCATCAACCTGAGCTGACGACGTCATGGCGCTAAATCCAGCTCATACTGCATTATTAATAAACAATATGACAACTGTCATCAGCTTTAGCTCCAACGTGTCGTCATGTTGCTGCAGCTTCAGTTTCCTGAGAGACTGCGTCTCAGCCCGTCACCCCAAAAATCATGTGAACTCTGTGATAAACAAACACAGTGTACGTTGCTCCGCCCCTCTCACCTCTTGTTCACCTTTACGACCTTCGTGTTGGCGTGCTCGACAGTCAGAGAGTGTCAGTTAGACACTAATGGCTCTGTTGGCCATCTCTAAACATAATATTAATCCTGTGGTCATATTGTTTATTAATAATGCAGTATGAGCTGGATTTAGCGCCATGACGTCGTCAGCTCAGGTTGATGATGTAGGTGACTTTTTAATTTGTCACGTGTCAGTTCAGTCTGCTTCCATAAAACCAAACCTGTTTTTATGGGACTGGAGCAGACGAACTGGAAATCCACCCACCTGTACTCTGGACTTTTAATTTGAGAAAAGCATCAAACACGTCTTTGTTTTGTGGCAGAGTTGTTTACAGGAAGTTGTCCTTCCTGACGTCCTTTTCGACATCCTTCTTGGACTCCTTAAAGGGATAGTTCACCCAAAAATGAGGATTCAGCCATTATCTACTCACCCATATGCCGAGGGAGGCTCAGGTGAAGTTTTAGAGTCCTCACATCACTTGCAGAGATCCAAGGGGAGAGGAGGTAGCAACACAACTCCACCTAATGGAGGCTGACGGCGCCCCAGATTCAAACGTCCAAAAACACATCATTGAAACCACAAAATATCTCCATACTGCTCGTCCGTAGTGATCCAAGTGTCCTGAAGCCCCGACATAAAAAGTTGTTTGGAAAAACCTCATTTGAACTCTGTTTTTAGCCTCATTGTAGCCTGTAGCTCTGACTGCCTCTCTGTGCACCGCACTCACGTGTGCGTCAGGACCCTCGGCATGAGGGTGAGTAGATAATGTCTGAATTTTCATTTTTGGGTGCACTAGTTCCTGTGTCAGACTTTGACCGGGCAGTTCTCTGATGCTGGATCAGCTCCACTTTACCTCTGATGAATCAGATTTAATCAATAATCAAACGGTGTTCTGTTTCTGATCACCAGCCGTCGTTCGGCTACATTGAGAGAGAAGATCTGAAGAAGTTCACCTTCAGCTTTGACGCCTTCTTTGGAAACCCTAAAGCCATGCAGCCTGGCGTCAGAGTCCACTTCACCGCCTGCAAGGAGAAGGTGAGACGCACTCTGTGCTATCAACACACAACTCATATGGATATTAAAACAACCAGAAGGTTCAGTTTATGTTCATATTTTTTTCCTTTACATCATTAGAAATATTAATTTTAATTTTCAGCTGATGAACGACTCGTCTCTGTGACAATGATTTAGTTATGAAACAACAAACTTTGATTAAATATTCATGTCAGTAAATATGATGATGAAACTGGAGTTCTGAGCGCTTGCTGCTGGCCGCTCCTCGCCGGGGTCAGTCAGAGAAACATGATCTAAACACATTTAGCTTTAACATTGTTTGTGGTTCTAAGCAGAACAGTCTGATAGCGACAGATGTGAAAGTGGCTCCAGGCGGAACAGAGAACGTGGACACGGAGATCTACGAGGCAGTGGTCAGTCAGCCCATCACGGAGCCTCAGGTTAGTTCACACGCCAGGTGTTTGGAACTCGTTTTCCTTCCTGTTTCCTGATGTTGACCTGGTTGTGTTGTCATCGGTCTGCAGCCCGGCGAGCGTCAGTACCAGGGGCAGGTCCACGTGGACATCGGGCCACTTAGGACAAACCTGACGTTTGACAGGAAGGACAGCACGGTGACGCTGCTGAAGAACGACCAGGTGCTCATCAACCTGCTGACCGACATCGTCACTGAGAAGAGAAGAGCGACCAACATCAAACCCAAAATCCCCTCCACCTTCAGCTACACCCACGAGGAGAGGGAGGAGGTCAGAGCTGCTTCTTGCTCACCTGTACACCTATTTACCTGTTGACCTGTTCACCTCCTCACCTGATTCTATTTGACTCGATGTTTTGAATCGTTTCAGGGTGTCATCATCAGCCTGACAGACAATGAAGGCGTCATCAAGTCTGAGAAACACGGCGAGCTTCCCTTCGACATCAAGGAGAATTTCAGTGATGTTGAGTTCACTGCCGAGGACATCAGCGAGGAGGTGGAGTTCACCATCATCATGGTGAGTATTCAGAGACGTTCACTTCCTGTCACAGCTCTGACTGATCGCCAGCTGAGGATTTATAAATCATGTTGTTTCTGTTTGTCCTCAGCTGAGGGCGGGGAAGAGGGCCATCAGGATCCGACGGGTGAAGGAACCCCTCCTCCTGACGCTTTCTGCCGCCACCGCTGCTGCTGCTGTCTCCGAGGAGGCTGCCGGCCAAAACACAGACGACGACAACGACAATGATGACGATGACGACGAAAACAGCGAGAAAGACACTTCTCCTAAAGTGACACCCATGGTGAAGCTGGAGCTGGGGCCCAACATGAGGCTGGACCCAGAGCTGTACGAGGGCATCGTCAGCCAGCCAATCATAGAGCCCACGGTGAGTCTGATACAACTGATGTACAGACGGTTACTGTCAGCGCCAGTATGTCTCTGTTACTGGTTCCAGTTTGAGCAAACAGCTGCTGAAGAAGAAGAACAGAAGTTTGCAGAAACCCAACCGTCATCATGTAGAGATGGGCTGTGTATCGATGAAAATCGATGTGTCACAGCTTATTCCATGTGCGACGTTTAAAATGACTGTACAACAAACATCAGGTATAAATGTTCACGTCATTTTTTTTAAACCACCAACAAAAGGCTTGTGTTTCTGTTTTCTGTGTTGGATGTGACAACCAGGTTCAGTTCAGGTCAGCAGTTCTTCTTCTCTGCTGAGCAGAGCCTGACCCTAACCTAACCCCAAGCCCTGCTTTCCCTTCCTGAGATGTCTAATGGTTTGTCAGAACTTCGGTGAGGCCAATAGAAAGTCCTTCTCCATAGACTCCTCCCATACCTGGGTTTTTGCTTGTCAGCTGCAGTTTTGTCTGTAGTGCTTTTGGCCAATTGGTACCTGTCTGCTGCTTCAGGAGACCCCTGGGCCAACCAGACCCGAAATGCCTCCTTCTTTAGCCTGACGTGACAGCTTCTCTCACTGCTGGTACCAGAGGGTTCTTAGGTTGCCGCCATGACAGGCACCAACAACCTTCCGACCACAGCTCCTAGCAGCCGCCTCCATAATGGAGGCTTTGAACGTGGACCACTCAGATTGGGAGAAATTCCTCTGGAGGTGGGAGTTGAGGACCCCACGGACAGGGACCTCAGCCAGACGTTCCCAGTTCACCCTCACTACACGTTTGGGTTTACCAGGTCTGTCCAGCAGCTTTCCCCGCCATCTGATCCAACTCACCACCGGGTGGTGATCAGTTGACAGCTCTGCTCCTCTCTTCGACTGGGTGTCCAAGACACACAGCCGCAGTCTGATGATACGACCACAAAGTAGATCATTGATCTTTGGCCTAGAGTGTTCTGGCACCAGGTACACTTATGAACCTCCCTATGCTTGAACATGTTTTTTGTTCTGGCCAGGCCATTACTCGCACAGAAGTCCAGTAACAAAACAACACTTGTGTTCAGGTGAGGCAGGCCGTTCCACCCAATCATCCTGGCAGGGTCCCCAGCTGGCAGGGGCATACGAACAAACAGTCAGAGACCTTTTCTTTGCGACACACAGTAGCATTGAGGTGACCATCTCGCTCCCCAGGGACAACCCCAACACGGCGGTGTTGGGCCGGGGGCTCATGAGTATCTCCACACATGCCCAGCGCCTCTCACCCTGGGCAACTCTGGAAAAAGCGAGAGTCCAGCCCTTCTCAAGGAGTTTGGTTCCAGAACAAGTGCTGCACGTGGAGGTGAGCCCAACTAGTTGGTACTGCTCCACGTCCCACACCAGCTCACTAGAGAGGTGACGTTCCATGTCCCCAGAGCCAGTCTGCGACGCCAGGGGCCCTGCCCCTTCCTGCCGCCCAGCACACAATGCACCTGACCCTGATCTCTGTCCCTTTGGGTGGTGGGTCCACAGGGCAACAGCTCCATGTTATCTTGCCGGGCTGAGCCTAAGGCCTGGCCACCAGATGCTCGCTGGCGATTCTTGCAGGAGTTAAACGTAACGAACTTTATTGAAACAGTGCTTTAAGTTTTTTTTGTTTTTGTTTTTTTAATAACAGTACTTAAACTTTATTGTATCAAAGTAGCTACCTTATTTACCTTTGTCGTAACTGTTATTTTACTAAATAAGTCAGTGTTTCAGTAGTCTGCAGTAATTTAGAGGTAATATAGAGATATGTATCACGTACTGTGATGAAGCCTAAAAGTATAAGGACATTATATTTAATCCATGTGATCACATGTCACAGTCATCAGGAGCTCAGTGGACTCATGTAAACCTGACCTGTTCAGGTTCGTTAGCAATACGTCTCACAGTGTTCTGTCTTCATGTTCATTCTTATCTGAAGCAGTATCAGTGAGGGGAGCTGATCTTACAGGAGCCATATAAAGACAACGTGAGCACTGTTAAACTGCTTCCTGTTTGTGATCTCTGACATGGCGTCTGTCTCTGTCTGTAGCCCACCATGCAGGGCTACCCGGGTCAGATCCACGCCAACATCGGCCCTGTCAGGACCAACGTGACCTTTGACCACAGGGACTGCGGCGTCACGCTGCTGAAGAACGACCATGTGTTGATCAACCTGCTGGTAGACATGGTGACAAGGAAGAGGAGAGCGGCCAACATCAAACCCAAAATCCCCTTCACCTTCAGCTACACCAAAGAGAAGAGAGAGCTGGTGAGTCCTAGTGGCCTCTAACGGAGTCTCTGATGTCTTGGTTTTAATCCTGAATGACCACGTGACTGTGTTTCAGGGCATCATCACCTTTCTGGGTCCTGAAGAAGGAATCATCAACTCCGAGGACCACGGCGAGCTTCCTTTCGACATCCATGAGAACTTCAGTGAAACCAAGTTTAACAGCAGCGACATCCACAAGGAGGTGGAGTTCACCGTGGCCCTGGTGAGTCTTGACGTCACAGACGCTGGCTGCTGAGTGACAGACGAGTTTCACCTTCTGAGCCACACCTCCATTTTGTTTCTACAGGTGAAATCAGAGAAGAGAGCGATCAGGCTGATGAGGACAAAGAGGGTCGAGGACCAAATCCTGGAGGAGCAGAAGAGACGGGAGGAAGAGGAGAAGAGGAAGAGAAGGGAGGACGAGGAGAAGAGGAAACAAGAGGTTGAGGAGAGGAAGAGGAGGGAGGACGAGGAGGCGGAGCAACAGAGAGAGGCCGAGAGGAAGAAGAGGGAGGAGGTGGCGGCGGCGCTGGCAGCGGCCCAGTGCAAGGTGAGAAACAGGCCATCAAACAGATGTGCTAACGTTCAGTGACGGGAAAAGATTTTAGTTGTAGGTCTTTATTTAAGTTTCATGATTTAAGTTCTTTAAGTTTCTTTGTTTATTTTAAATCTTTAAGTTTTTTTATTTTAGTTTTTTAAGCTTTTGACTTATTTTATCTCTAAGTTTTTTTTAGGTGTTCATCTTTTTTTAATTTTAGTTCTTTATTGAAGTTTTTAAAAATTTATTTTAGTCCTTTAAGTTTTTTTAATTAATTCAGCTTTTTATGTAAGTTTTTCCTTATTTATTTTAGTTAAGGTTTTTTTTTTGGTTGAAGTTTTTTATTTATTTTTTTAATTTTAGTTTTTGTGAAGATTTTATTTACTTTGGTTTAAGTGTTTTTTTGTTGGTTTTAGGTCTCTAGGACTTATTTTAGTTCTGTATTTAAGTTTTTATTTATTTTAGTTTAAGTTTTTTTTTAATTGTTTTTATTTATTTCTGTTCTTTAAATGTTTTATTTATTTTGTTTTTCTTTAGCTTTTTTATTTAATTAAAAACTTTTTTAAGTCTTAAGTTTTTATTTGTTGTAGTTTTTGTAAAGTTTTTATTTACATAAGTTCATAGTTTTTTTTATTTGTTTTAGGTCTGCAGGATTTATTTTATTTCTGTATTTAAGTTTTTTTTTATTTATTTTAGTACTTTATATAAGTTTTTTTTAAATTTCACTTTAGATCTATAGATGTTTGTTAAATGTATATTTTAGTTCTGTAAGTTTTTTATTTTTGTTTTTGTTTTTTAGTTACTTTACTCTATTTAAAGAGGCAACAGATAGGATTCAGTTTTTTTTAAGCCTGGCGCCACCTAGCGTCAGTGGTGCTGCGTTGCACTGTGGCAACGACCAAATTGAGCGTGGGGATCAGAGATAATGAATAAAATGTAGGCTGTAAAGCCACCAGTATACCTCTATGTATATGTAGAATGAGAAGGTGTGTGGACACTCTACTGAATAAATGAGTAAAGAGACCGAGCAACAATTATCAGATTTATCTGAAGAGAAAACAAATAGTAATGCAAATAATTATAGCAGAATGCACAGTACCAGTACAAACAGCTCACAGTAAATGATACCAATATGTACAGTATCAGTACAAACAACAGTAGACACAGTGGAATTATACCAATATGCACATGTAAACTGTCCCCATTCTAGAATAAACGCTACCGTATGGAAACCATGCGGCCGGTTGGAGCTCAAATTGAATGGGAAACAAAGTCCAGTGTTCACTTAGCTGGGCGTAACTTAGCTGGGCGATGTCCGTGGATAGCTGCCTCCGTGAGAAGAGAACAGAAGGAAGGGAGGGGGGTATCACTGTCCGAGGGCTGCCGTAGAATGGCAACCAGGATGTCAGCCGACCAACACTCGCTACCCGCTCCCTGGTTGCGGCGATTTGCGATGCTGGCCAGCTAGGAATGAACTAGCAGCCAGTACAGTACAGTCCTCTCTGGTCTAGCTAACATTTAGCCGTGTTACTTACTGATCCATTAGAAAGAAAGCTAGCTGGACATGGGTTTTGAAGCCTCTTTGGTCACGGAGCTCCCTCCATCTCTTGAACGCCTGACTGAGGTTTACTCTTGTTTTTCCTCTTCTTTTATCACTCTCCTTTTTGCTCTTCTTTGCCTCCTCACACAGAGGAGCTCCTTTTCTTTTGCTAGGCCGTTTTTCACTTGTCTCCAAACTTTGTCCGTCTGCCATTGTGCTCGTGACTCAACTATCTCATGCCCAACTCCTCATAAGGACCAGCTCCAGTCCCTGATTGGCTGACCGACCAGTTTCACAATACACGACGCGTTTCCTGCCGTAAAGCAGATTTTTTCCATGAAATTTCAGCACCGGTGGCAGAAGCTTATTGCAAAGATTGCACAGTAACCTATGTAAACACTGATAGTCTGATTTTACTGTGGACACTACCCTGTGCAACCCACATTATTTTCATCATGATATATTTAGGAAAAGATGCTGTCTGTTGCCTCTTTAATTTTTTTTTTATTTTAATTTTTTAAGTTTTGTTTCATTGTAGTTTTTTAATATAGGTTTTTTTATTTATTTTAGTTCTAATAGTTCTTAGTGTATTTTAACTCTTAGTTTATTTTAGTTCATTTTTTAGCACTTAAACTTTGTTTTTTATTTTAGCTCTTTTCTCATTATTTGATTTTTGGGTTTATTATAGTAATTTATTTATTTTAGTTCCTAATTTAACGTTTTTACTTATATAAGTTTTTTTTTCATTATTTTAGTTTTTATTAGAGTTGTTTATTTAATCTAGATCTGAAGTTTAATTTTAGTTCTTAGTTGTTGTTTTTTAGTTGAGTTTAAATGATTTTGTTTTAAAGTTAGAGTTAAGTTTGTTTTGTTTCAGGTTTAGTTATTTTATAGGATTAGTTTAGAGATACAGTTTGGAAAAAGAAATTTTGTGTGGTTGGAGGTTTAGTTTAATTCTGCCAAACTTTTAGATTTGTTCAGGTTAAGTGATGACTTAGTGAGGCTCAAGGTTTAATTTAGTTTAGTTGGAGGTCTAGTGTGAGATGAAGAGTAGTTATGAAAGATTACGATTTAGTTTGAGGTGAAGTTCAGTGTCTGATTTCACATTTACAATAAAAACGTATTTATCAACCCTGACCTGTTGAATTAAACTGAAAACTCTGTTCAGTCGTTTAATAACTGAATTCACCTAAATGTATGTCCTAAACATTTTTATAGACAAAATCCAGACTCAGTATTTATTTCATCACAGTAATATCATTACGCACATTAAACCAATCATCTGTGCGCGCCGTGTTTCTGACTGCTTCCTGTCGTCCTGCAGTGGACGCCACTTGGCTTCAAGGTGAGGAACCCTGACACGATGGACGAGATCAGCAAGGAGCGATTCGAAGGCACTGTCCTCAAAGCCGTCTCCAAATATCCACGTAAGGAGATCAAGAAGGAGCCCGAGGCGAACAAGGAGGAGCCAGGAGGAGGAGGAGGAGGAGGAGGAGGACAAATGCTCCCTGGACAGGTACGGAGGAAATACTGCAAAAAAATAAGTTTGTGACTAGTGTTGTTTTTGGCGGCCTGTTTTAATTTCAGTTTTAGTCTAGTCTTTGTGTCAAACTGTCATTTTAGTTTTTATTAGTTTTAGTTGCATTCATACTCTTTTTGTCTAGTCAAGTTTCAGTCGACTAAAAGTCTGAGCATTTTAGTCTTATTTTAGTCAGAATAATCCATGACATTTTCGTCTCATTTTAGTCGACGAAAACAGACGACATTTTAGTCTAGTTTTAGTCAATGAAAATTGCATTTTAGTCTCTTTTTAGTAATGCAATTCTATTATACCCAGTCAATATAGTATAAGTACCTAGTATAGATGAAACCAAAATTTTCTTTTAGTCAAACCCATTTCGCAATTCAAACAAAGTTATCTTAATATTATATTATTGTTACCTCATAGACTCAAGAATACATTCATTCCAGACATGGAAGATGCTCTGATTTGAATTACACAACAGTTAGTTCCGGCCCTGCAATCTGATTGGTCGAGAGACAGTAAAACCGTGTTGATATTGGAGTACAACATCACGGTTATTTCACTGTGTATGTATCACTCCGCCTCACAGCTGATTGCAATCAACAATCAAATCAAAACTGACGGTTAGTGTCAGTTAGGTCAGCAGTTGCGTTGTAGGCGAATTAATTCATCCACTGTCAAACAGCCAAAAATATGGATTTATTTCCTAAAATAAGTTTTGAATTGAACTATGAATGGTCATCAGAGGAAGATGAGGGAGAGGAGAAGCTGAATCCATCTGAGCACACATCCAGGTTTGTCAGTGTTTCATCAGCGGAGCTCAATGACTTGGAGAAAAGCAACATACTGTCAGATCAGAAGGCAGAGTCGGCTGTGCCTGTGAAGC